TGTAATTTCCTGACGTTGTGTGTGTGTCTCATGGTTGTGTAATTTCCTGATGTTGTGTGTTTGTGTGTCTCAGGGTTGTGTAATTTCCTGACGTTTTATGTTGTGTGTCTCATTGTTGTGTAATTGCCTGACGTTGTGTGTTTGTGTCTCAGGGTTGTGTAATTGCCTGACGTTGTGTGTTTGTGTGTCTCATGGTTGTGTAGTTTCTTGACGTTGTGTGTTTCTGATTCTCAGGGTTGTGTAGTTTCCTGACATTGTGTGTGTGTGTGTCTCAGGGTTTGTTTAATTTCCTGACGTTTTGTGTTGTGTGTCTCATGACGTTGTGTGTCTGTGTGTGTCAGTGTGACAGGTGGAGAGCTGTTTGAAGACATCGTAGCGAGAGAATACTACAGTGAAGCTGATGCCAGGTAAGAGACGCACTCTTCAGACTTCTTCTGCTTCTGTGCTGAATCTGCTGCTGACCTCTGACCTCTGACCTCTGACCTCTTTCTGAACAGTCACTGTATCCAGCAGATTTTGGAGGCGGTGCTACATTGTCATCAGATGGGCGTGGTCCACAGAGACCTAAAGGTACCCGACACGTCAGGTGACATAATCTCTGACAGCTCCACGTGTCCTGAACCGCAGTTCTGTGCAGCGACATGATTGGCCGCTGGGGCCAGTGGGGGAGGGACATCTTTACTGCCACAGTACTGTCTGGGATCCTATTGGCTGTCTGACCGCCGAGTTCTGTTAATAACCTGCTCATAACCAGCAGCAGGAAAATCGATTATTTGAACGAGGTCTGGCTTGTTAAGCCTGAAATATAGCACGTGTGATGATTTAACAGCCGCCCACACAAACACAGTGTTTTCATGACAAACAACACACCAGCGTTACACACAACAGTAATCAGCTGCTCATCAAACCATGAACAGCTGATTACAGCAAACGGGTGAATTGAGCCCAGAGCTGCTGGTCTCTGATGAAAGACGGGAAGAAACCAATGAAACCAAGACTCTTTGTCAAGACTCAAGTACGCGAGTCCGTGCTCGTGTACTCGACGAGCACGGACTCGCGATTTGCACAATTGGAACACCAGCGTACTTGATGATGTCACAGGTCCAGAGTTTTTACTGCTGTCGCCTCTTAATTTAACTGATATTAATATGTTATGAAGCTTTAATCTTTAGTCTCAGCCAAACCGATTTACTCAGGAACAAATAAAACACTGAAATAAACCAAACATTAACATTTCGAAGTGATCTAAGTGACTTATATATCATGTTTAACCTCAGTAGCGGAAGACCGCGGGGGGTTCAAAAAGATGTGCCAGGAGTCCGCTGTTGTCGCCGGCTCTAGTGATCCTCGACCTCGCTGTGTGCTATGGAGCTGGCGGGTGACGGACGTCTCCGAAAACGTCGGAGCACGTTTGGAGATATGCGATATGTTGATAAACCGAGCAGATATTTGAAGCTTACACAGCTACATTCTCGCTTGAAAATAACTTAAACGTTTATTTTGTGACCCAGAAATATTTAAAAGTTTTCAGCCACGCTCGTCCACCATTGCCGCCATTGGGTTTTGTACCAAGTCTACACAAGTCACCACTGATGCATGCTCAATAAAACGGGCGGACGGGAACACATCCGGGATTTTTTGGCGTTCTTGGCCTGATGCGTACTTGAATTGGAACAGTACTATACGCACAAGTACGCATATTGAGACAGGCTCCAAGTCCTCTAACGGTCCTGTTAGCATCCTTAGCACCTTTCGTGCAAACCAGTGCGGTTAGAGTTAGCGTGTTAGCATGTCTGTTGTGTCTGCAGCCTGAGAACCTCCTCCTGGCCTCCAAGTCCAAAGGAGCGGCGGTGAAACTCGCCGACTTTGGCCTCGCCATCGAGGTGGAAGGAGACCAGCAGGCATGGTTCGGTAAGAGCACCAAGTGATGGTGATGATGATGATGGTGATGATTGTGTTGATAATGGTGATGGTGATGAAGATGATGATGATGATAGTGATGGTGACGATGATGATAGTGATGGTGACGATGATGATAGTGATGGTGACGATGATGATGGTGACTGTGGTGATGGTGACGATGATGATGATGGTGACTGTGGTGATGATGATGGTGACTGTGGTGATGGTGGTGATGATGATGGTGATGGTGACGATGATGATGGTGACTGTGGTGATGGTGACGATGATGATGGTGACTGTGGTGATGATGATGGTGACTGTGGTGATGGTGGTGATGGTGATGGTGACGATGATGATGGTGACTGTGGTGATGATGATAGTGATGGGGACGATGATGATGGTGACTGTGGTGATGGTGGTGATGATGATGGTCTTCATTAATCTAAATTTTTTATTTGTGCCGCTTTGTCACATAAACAAGGGTCTTCCAAAACAGCAACTGTGTGTAAACATGTGTTTGTTTTCAGGCTTTGCGGGGACTCCAGGTTATCTGTCTCCAGAGGTCCTCAGGAAGGACCCATACGGGAAAGCAGTCGACCTCTGGGCCTGTGGTGAGTCTCTACTTCCTGTTTCTTCTTTCTTTATGTTTCCTCCACTCATGTGCAGTTTGTTTATTTTTTACTCGGGGTTCATGTCCAGGGTGTTGTTTTCACGTTTAGTGTTTTACTTTCTTTACTTTCAGTCTCTGAGGACATGTTTGTCTCTTTTATCTTTCACATTCATTCCTTCTTCCAGTTTTTTTTTAGCTTTTATGATTTTTCTGTCTGTCTGTGGATTTTTTTTTATATTTTATTGCATTTTATTTTTGTCAGGTGTATTTATTTAATTTTTTATGGTCTTCTGTCTCAGGTGTGATTCTCTACATCCTATTGGTCGGTTATCCTCCATTCTGGGATGAAGACCAGCATCGTCTGTACCAGCAGATCAAAGCTGGCGCCTATGATGTAGGTCACATGACATCACGACTGTTCACCTGTACTTTATTGACAGTTTAACCATTGTGGGCGGGGCTTTAACACCTTTGTTATTACAGTTGTTCTAATTTAAACTCGTCCTCTCCTTGCCTCCTCTCCCTGTGTCCTTGCTTCTTAGTTTCCTTCCCCGGAGTGGGACACGGTGACTCCTGAAGCCAAAGATCTCATCAATAAGATGCTGACCATCAACCCGGCCAAACGCATCACAGCTGCCGAGGCGCTCAAACACCCCTGGATCTCTGTGAGACCCTCTCACCTTTGACCTTTGACCTTGTTCTCTGTCCTGCTCTGCTCCTCACGATGATGATGATGTTCTTCTTCCTCCCAGCACCGATCCACAGTGGCGTCCTGCATGCACAGACAGGAAACGGTTGAGTGTCTGAAAAAGTTCAACGCCAGGAGGAAACTGAAGGTGGACTTTCAAAATAAAACCATGAAGTTTTAGTGTTTTTAGTGACCACGGAGGAAAAAAGTTTCCAAAGCTCAGATTTGTGGTCACGGCTGCTTTTGACTCTTTGTTGTTTTAAAGGAAATGTTGAAGTTAATCTGTTTTAACTTCACATAATAATCATTTTTAGAAAATCAGAAATAAATTCTGTCATAATTTTCTGTGCTTTTATTTTTATCCCTTCTTTCCTTCAGGGAGCCATTCTCACCACCATGTTGGCCACCAGGAATTTCTCTGGTAAGACCCCCCCCCCCCAAACCCACCCAGTGTGGTCAAAGGTCATGTACAATTTGAGGCTGTCCCCTATTAACTGTCAGTAAGTCACACAGCTTGTGGCAGCAGCAAGTTTGACCTTTGACCTGCAGGTTTGTGTTCCAGTAGCAGGAGGTTGCACAGAGAAATCCACCAGTCAGCTGCCAGCTTACACACAATAAGCACGTTATCACTGTGTGTGTGTGTGTGTGTGTGTGTGTGTGTGTGT